CACTGTTTAGGTTGAGAATTTGTTTATTTCGTTACGTGTTTTGTCGGCGGGAATCTAGCAAAACTTGTTATTTTAGTACAGTTTTAACAATGGTCTCTGGAAGCCATATTTACTACAGACAAATAGCTCGTTTCCACTGCGTTTGTCTGAATCACAGGGGATGTTTAATTTGGCGCAAATTTGTCAAAATTCCGACGCAAAAATTTGAAAGCCAACTTACCGTCATCAACCCGTGNCATCAACCCGTGCTCTGTTCTCTGATAAAGCACGCACTTTCAGCCAATCAGAGCGCGCGTTATATGGAAACTTTATTATAAATAATAATAAGCAATATCAACTGCCTTTCTCTTGATTCAGATGTCTTATGGGATGTAATCATTGAAAATGAGAATGATTGCCCAGTTTGTGCTAAGTCTGGCATGGGAACGGTCAGAGTTGTTGTTAGGGATTCCCCTGGGGGGACCACACAGGTCATCTAAGGTCCCGTCCACACTAAACCAGAGAAATTTGAAAACGGAGGTTTCACTCTGGAAAAGCACCAAATGTTTTCCGTCCACATTACGCTGGAGGAATTTGAAAACGCAACAATAATCGGTCACTTTGGATTTGTGTTTGAGGAAAACTCGGGCAGGAAAGTCACATTATTATCGTGATGCCATCGTTTTCGAAAAGGTCCGTTTTCAAAATGTTTTCCGTCCACACTAAAACGCAAAGCCAGCATTTTGAAATACCTCCGGTCTAAAGAGCGTTTTCGGCAAGGATTAGTGTGGACGGTAGGCCTAACCGCGTTCTCAAATTCCTCCGACGGAGTGTGGACGGCGCGTCAGACAGACGGGAAGGCACGTCAATTTGAATTCATTTATTTTACGTAGTAAGAAGAGTTTCGAGTGGGATATCGATAACCATAGTTATTTAAGTGCAGTTTTTGATGCCTTTTCGGTCTCCGGTTTACTACAGCATGTGTAAGATCATACCGTAAACTTCCAAAAGTAACGAACCTCGTTACTTTCGGAATTAGCAGCCTTTGGGGCTCGTTACTTTCGGGAGTTCGTTACTTTCGAGGGGTCGTTACTTTCGGGGAGCAAAAACGATATATGAAGTTAGTACAACTGAGCTCTTTTTTACGAAATAAAAGACGGAAGTTCGTAAAAACGGTTCTTTAAAGTGCCCATAATGTCAAAAAAATTTTCGCTCATCTAATTCTACATTTTACCTAATGACCTTCTGCGCAAAAAATTTTCGATTTTAATAAAACGCAATTTTTTTACGAATCTTTTTCTTGCGGTCGACCCCTGCCGCTGATCACAAGAATAACGTGCTCAAAATGGCTACGTGACTGATGCCTGTGACGTAGGTTCAGGAACCTACGATGAAGACTGCTGCTGTTGTTTTCTGTATCATTAACGTTGTTACAAAGAGCGGCAACGCACCTTTCCGGCATTTTAAACTAAATGTAGACAACTCTGAAGCAAAATTTCAACTTGTTTTCAAGTCAGATCAGTCACGACCCTAATCACGTGTTCCCGAACCTATGTCACGACTCACTTCACACCGAGGAAGACTGGTGCGAATGGTGGACCAAAATGGCGGCAAATTTGAACGTCTAAAAACTTATAAAAAAAATTGCGTTTTATCCAAATCGAAAAATTTTTTCGCAGAAGTTCATTACGTGAAATTTAGGATTAGATGAGGGAAATTTTTTTTGACATTATGGGCACTTTAACCCATTTACACCTGTGCCGCTCCGTGGTAAGAATTTCCCGTCTCGATGATGCTTTCTCGGAATTCTTCAACTGGAAATAAGCCCAATAGAAGGTCAACAACTGCAGCAAAAAGATAAGAAAAGGAGAGAAAGGAATGGAATGCCAAAGCAAAAATGTTATAAAACGCGATGCTAGTGGAAAGAAAGGCGTGCTGTCATGTTGCAAATGCCTTTTTGGGTAGATTGGAGCTAATGTAACTGCTATCCATGCTAAAAATGTCCAAAAATCTCTAGGTGTCAATGGGTGAAACTTCAAATTAAGACCGTGTTGTCAGGAAAGCTAGTCCGACACCGTAAACTGTTTCTACTCGTTTATGATGCACTGCTATATTAGTCTGGTTTAACAATATCTCAGTGTGTTGGTCGAGTTTTCAATTTAAGCTCGAAGAAACGTTTCTTTTAATAGACCTTAATACGCTCCTGTTGAAAATGATAGTTGTCCATTTTAATTTAAAAAAGACGTTCTTGTTAGTACGTTCCTGTTACTTGGTGAAACCCGACTATTGATTGGGAAAATAAATATAATACTGAACCTTGGTCTCGCTATTTTCGGTGGGAGGGAGGGTGGGGGTTGGGCTCGCTGCTTTCGGAGGGCTTTCAGCGGGGGGTCGCTACTTTCGGTATTTATTAACGTTACGGTTAGGCCTTGACGGATTGTGCTCCTAAATGTGGCATATTATGCTACTAGCAGTGCTTGAAATTTTGCCAAATTATGCCAAAATTATGCCAGAATTCCTAAATTATGCTCCTGATTTCCGAAATTATGCTCACAAAATGACGTAGATTCTGAACATAGAGGCACGCAATAACGACACCAAATGATGATGTTTTTCAAATGAACTGTTGTTGTAAATTTATTTGTGTTTTATAGCAGTTTGTCTCGGCCGTCAGCTGTCCAAATTAGCTGCCTAGTGACTAAGCATGTCAGAACAAAGTCAATACTACTATTTGCGTTACTAAAACACGCATTGCAAGAACATACTACCTAAATTTAATTTATTTCTGTAGAAAATACACCATATTTACTAAATTTTACGAATTTATGCTCCAAAAAGTGCTAAAATTTGCTAATTATGCCGTGGCAGTGCTTGTTTAAAAAATTATGCTTTTTTGCTCCAATTATGCCAAAAATTATGGTAGCACAATCTGCCAAGGCCTAATTACGGTAACAGGCCTCTGCTATATCGCGCTTTCTCCGCAACTTCGGATCAGGCCCTGGGGCCCGTTTCTCGAAAGACCCGGATACTTCCCGGGCACACAAAGTCATTCTTAGTTCATCTGTAACTAAAAAGAGAGAGGCGTATACTCCTGAAACGTCTTGTATGAAAGGAACCTCTCTCCATATTAAGAATATTTGAATAGAACACCTCCACAATTATAAGGTTTGAGATTTTGCGACGACTTTCCGGCGCGAAAACTTTTCGGGACCTTCGAGAAATGCGCCCCAGGCCCTGGTTGTCGAAAGAGAGGATATCGATTTGCACTAACAGAGCGCTATCTATTGGATAGTGATTGATCCCGTTAAAAGCGTTATCTATCATTAGATAACCGGCTCAGGGGCAACCATAGCGCAATATTTACAGATTATTAAAATAAAACGTCACGTCGAGAAATTACTTATTGAACTTGAGGGTTGTTTTCAGTTTTCCATACATGTTTCATTTTGTTTAATGTGAGACTTGTATTCGAGTAGCTGAGGGCGAGGAGGGAGTCCACTTAGAATCTTCGTGTCTCGCGGAGATACATGAAAACAGAGCGGTTGCATCAATGGTGATCCAATGTTGCAACCTTGTTTCAGTTCAATATCCTCTGGCCGAAAAAGATGTTACATAATGACTGGTAATGTATAAATAGTGCACTGTCTGAACTGAGATTTGTTTAGACACAAAAAAGTTGAACTCCTAGCGCCAGGTATATGTTATAGTGCGCATGTAAGTCCACCGACCGTCTCGAACTTACACAAACGTAGCTAAGGTTTCGACTCCTTTTTTTGTGCAGTAATTATACAAACGCAGCTAAGGTTTTCGACTGATTCGTTTTTTTTCTTCTTCCCCTTGAACGTTCATATAGCACGTGTTCTGTTGAAGAACACTGCCAGCCAGGGAAAGATGTCATCTATCCTGATCTATCGACTCGATTTATCCCATACAAACTAGCACTAATTTTTCCCTTTTCCGCGCGAGTTACGTTACGACAGAACACAAAATGGCTCAATATAAGCCGCTATAGAGAAGAAACTTTAAACCTGTGAAGGAAATACCTACCTGCCAGCCATAGCAAGCTTTGTTGAAGCTCTTGTGAGAACACAGCCGGCATACCCTTGAATTAGAGCTCTTTTGTTTCACTGAGAAATGCTATTCTGCAATCTCCACAAAGTGGGAGTAAGAAGTAAGGTAAGAGTGTGCCGTAGCGTTACTCGTGAAATGTGTGTATTCTGCCGAGAAGGATTGAGGAGGGATGTGCATGTATTGATAACCGTACAGTACGTGGCAAAACAAAGCTAAAACAGTACATATAGGTTTATTGGTCAGCTTCCTCTCTAACTGACTGGAGTCTGTACTGTTAAAGAATTAGCAGTTCCTGAATACAAGACATAACTGTACACTTAGAGCAACCAATTCTTTAAATGAATTGGATGCATACAAAGAAATAATTGATTCGCCCAGCGGAATTGACGGACAGACAATTACTTTTGATACAGAAGGTAGTTTTGTAAACCAGAACAGATAACACCAGATACTCCTTTGATATTAGGTAATAACAGAAAAGGTGTCCTTCCTCAATAAAAAAGCACCTTTAAATTCATTTTCACTCCCGTCTTCAATATATCAAGTGTTAAGCAATAGAGCTCATACAAAATTTGTTTTCAGTCTGTCGTCTTGATGATACAATAGTAACACATTCCTCGACGGTTATGTGACTTAAACACCATGCATGACACCTGTAAACAAGTCTATGCAGTGTGTCACGCAAAGAAATCACAAACGCGTCGAATCAATAAAAGCAAGTCTTTTGAGCAAAGATATGATTAAAAAGAGGAATGAATCACTTATTACATCTTCTCAGCATTGTGTCGCTCTTCAAAAACCTGAAAAGAAGAATATTTATTTTACAAAGACATTTACAACAATTTTCAATTTTTTTGTCGTAAGGTTCATGATCCACGCTATTTTAGGCGATTCAACCTGTCGTAGCTCTCGGCAAAATAAACATTTCACCATGCAATGAGCTCTTTAAAATTGGCCTGCTCTGCTGAAAAACTGCATGCAAATTTGTTAGCATTTTGAAAAATACAGTCAGCTGTGCATACAACCTTTTAACACAGGTGGTCTGAACATGTGTAAAATGGACACAGGTTCTAAATTACCCCAAACCAACTTACAGTCGTGTAAATTCTACTTGAGAAAGATGTTTTTCACATTGATCTTTTCAAGTTTTCCTTTTTCTGTTTGCCACTTTATTAACAATGTACATGTCAGCATTACATTACCTTTTTCAGTGTGGAACCCATTTGAGCTGGAGATGAAGTCACCCTGACACCTGCATCTCTTAAAGCTTTAATCTGAAACAAAAACTTCATCATTATAGTTGTAATGTAGATAAGCCTACACCCATGAGGCATAAAACATGCAACACACAGGACATGTACGAGTTCCATTTTTCCTTTGACTACCTTATGTTCAGCAGTTCCTCTACCAGCAGCAATAATTGCACCAGCATGACCTACAGTGGTATAACACAATACTGTTAATTTCATTACAAACTGATTTTTAAATACACATTGCACAATACCACAATATGTGCACAAGACTATCTCTGCCAAGCCGTCTGTACACATTGGATGCCTATAAATAAAAAATGATTTTAAAAAGTGACTAAAAATAAACAACCAAAATATCTTGTAATCCTGACCCATTCTCCTTCCAGGAGGTGCCGTGACTCCAGCAATGAATGATACCACAGGCTTGGCATTCTCGCCTGTGTTATGCAGTTGAAGATACTCTGCTGCTCTTTCCTCAGCGCCACCTCCAATCTCACCAATCAGGATGATGCCTACAGTGAAACAAAACATATCAGAGTCAAGCTCTCTGTACTGACTGTTTTTTTCATAATTTGTACTTGCTGCAGGGCTGTTAATAAGGGCCATAACCCATAAGATCTGTGACGGCTGACTGGGCTCTAAATGTTATGGGTGAACTTGCCTGTAGTTGATACAATTCAACCATTAAGTTACAAATTTGTTACGGGTGTGAAGATCAAGGCTGCAGGTGAATCAAAACATAATGACAGCCCTGTATTGATAATGTAACAAGAAATGAAAGTGTTAATCAGATCATTCTTTGGAAATATCACTTATAAACAATAATTAAATTGCCAGTAAGAGTAAAGTGGGTCCAGATTTTACAGGGAACATGGTAGTCAATGAAAAGACAGAGCATAATGATTGTGTAACACAAATCAAACCTTCCGTCTCTGGATCTTGTAAGAAAACATCTAAACAATCCATGAAGTTTGTACCATTGAAAGGGTCTCCACCAATTCCTGCAGGTAAGATGTATAAATGGCACTGTTAGAAGTGTTGGACAATAATTTATTGCTGCAAAACTGATACTCAACATTATTGTTGTTTACATTTTGTTTAGAATTCAAACTCCACCATGAAAATGTAAAGAAAAATGAAGATTGCAAAATAGGATCTATTTTGAACTTTGCTTCTTACCTATACAAAGAGATTGTCCAAGCCCAACCTCTGTCGTTTGATGAACAGCTTCGTATGTTAGAGTTCCTGATCTTGAAACAATACCTTTAACAGACAAACAAAAAAGTCTCACTTGCTTTAGCAACAAAAACACACCTGTAACTCGTACTTTCTTGATTATTCTAAGCCAGGCAGAGTAGCAAAATAAGGAGGACCTAATTAGCTAAGTGCTGGAAGAAATAGAAACACAATTTAATTCAGTTTCATTGGTTATATACCAACCTATTTTTCCCGGTTTGTGAATGTGCCCAGGCATAATACCAATTTTACACTGTCCTGGCTGCAAGGCAACAAATTTACAAATTAGAACCCAAAAATGGCAAGAAATTACCTGCAATATTGAATAATTTAAACATTACTTAATAAACAGTAAACTTATTCTTATGAATTGTTTGTCTACCAACCTTGATGATTCCAGGACAATTGGGACCAACCATTCTGCTTTTTTCCTGTCGTTCTAATGTGTGTTTGATTTTGACCATATCTTGTTGGGGTATTCCCTCTGTTATGCATACAATTAAACCAATTTCAGCGTCAATTGCTTCTAAAACAGCAGCGGCAGCATATGGGGGTGGCACATACACCACTGTAGCATCAGCACCAGTAGCATCCTTAGCCTGAAGAGACAAGTGTTCAACATTCATCATTCACGTTGCATGTAAAGCGCTAAGCTATCATGAATATTTTTATTACCTCTTTTACACTGTCAAATACTGGAAGCCCCAAGTGTGTCTGGCCACCTTTCCCTGGTGACACACCTCCAACCATCTGTGTTCCATAAGCAATGGATTGTTCACTGTGAAAAGTCCCCTAGTTAAAATAAAGCACACATTAGAAAATCAACATAACAATGTCACAGCTAAATAACAGTCTGCACAAAGAAAACTACAACATAAAAACCTTGCAAAATACTATTCAAAACTCAGAAAGAAATGCACAAGAAACCTCATTCAGAACAAAAATTGTACATGTAACTTTAAAAAGATTTAGTCATTAACTGCTTGGATTAAATTTAACCTTGTATAATATATTAAACCAAATTATTTTTGTTAGTAAAAATATTTGATACAAATCAGTGTACAAAAATGTTCTGGATACAATATCCAGGAATCTATATTGTGAACACTAAGGTGGATCATCAGTTCTACACTGCTGAACATGAGATTCAATTCTTGTCTTAGGTAAATTGTGCTATGTAACAAATGGAAGAGCTGGTATTTTGTCCTCTATGTAAACTACTTCTCACCTGTTTCCCAGTAAATCCCTGACAAATAAGCTTGGTATTTTTGTCAATCAAAAGATTTTTCCTGGTACCAGTATAGTTGTGACGAATTCCCACTTGCTCTAAGCTGAGTCCTTCAGGAATAATAAGAATGTGAGCAGACAATTCATTAGCCCCTGCCTTTTAAAATGTACATGTACCAAACAGGTCATTTCTGAGAAGCACTGAGTGATTGGTGGGCTGAAGTTAGCCAGTTGCTGATCGATCAACATGAAGATGAGAAGGTCAAAAACATTTACTGGATCTATAAGGTGCTGTTACAACAAGCAATGTCTGTGTTTCTTGTTTTGCAGTTTTGCTGTACCATTATGAGACAAGCTGGACAAAACAGTGCATGGGGTGTTACACTAAAAGTTACATTAGGCAATTACAAGCTGAGTGGCAAAGTTGCGGAGTGTAGATTGGCTTGCACAGTGCTTTCAGTAACATTTGAAGTAGATGTCTGCCAGTATAAAGGTAGGCAGCTCAGGATATATAACCTTTGCTAGGGGGGTCTGGGGGCATGTTTCCCCAGAAAATTTTGAAGTTTAAACTCTTGGAAATAAGATTTCCAGCTTTCTGGGCATCAAAGTTAGCAAAGTCAATGATGAATATATGCTGGAACCAATCTTTTTCGCTCACTGCCCGTAAATGATTTATCTCTGTCTGGGTTATCGAAGTGCATCGGCTTCCTTCACAAATTTCTGCAAGTGTAAAAACTGTGAACAGGCTTGTGGAATGAATTTCCAAACGATGAACAAATAAAGTCTTTCATTACTTCAATTGATGGCCCTTTGTGTGGCTCACGACTTTCCAAAAATTGCAAAGATGGCGAGGCCTTATCTGCGACTTCAGACTGTATCGTTTTGGAATCAGTTGGGTTGACTGGCGAAATTTCATCATTGGAATGAAGCATTTCGTTTTGTGCAATTGATATTCATCCGTAAGCAAAGAAGAACACAATAGGTTTATAAAAGAACAATTCAGAAGTCAAAGAAATTTATTCAAAGTACCTGTTTTGCTTTCAAAAGAACGTAAACAAATCAGTCTGTCCAGACTGTATATGGGTGTGCACTTTGCTGCCATCTTTTCTCAACCGACCACATGGTAATAGTTTAAAAGCAAGGTTAAATTTTATTACGATACTGCTGAAAATGGCTGACTGTTTTGCAATTTGCATTTGCATTTGATGGATGTGTACGCTTTTATATACATGAACATTCAAGGCAAATGTAAGAAATATTTTATCAGTTTATTTGAACTGAGAAATAGGTAGGCAGTAAATATTGCAAGAGTTATATTTTTGAAGTTTTTGTCAACAAACACAGCCAAGTAGCTGGTGACTCAATGACTCACAGCTGCCAGAGCTCCAGCAGTAGCCGGCTTCTAATGAAAGCGCTGTTGCAGGCTACCCGGTCTCCCTCTGTTACACAGTTGTAGCGTTTACCCATTAGTGCGTGTGAAAGGGAATCTGGAGAGAACATGCTGTCTGCCATTAAATCCTCGAGTTATGAGTGTTGGTAGAATGTGAGTGATTAAGAGTTTATAATTCGAACCATCTGTGCAGGAAACTACAACTGCATAAGCTATAACATTGTTTCATTATTGCTGTAACTGTGGCAGAAATAGCAAAATAATTCATTTTGTTCAATGGCTTTTGGAAACTAGTGCTTTCATTTACCAGTAAAGGTAATACCTTAAATTAGCCAACCAAAACATAATGGACAAAAGCCCTTGTGTATATATACTTCTAGCTATAAGGTACAGTCTCCAAAGGTAAATATCTTCTTTGAGTATACTATCGATCTGGAAACTGGAGGTTTATAGGCCTCTGTCCAGAATCCAGTCAGTGCAGACATGTACAGTGTGGGGCCCAGTTCTTGGCCGCGCCCAGTTCTCAGCCACTTTTTGTTCAGCGTTTATTTTTTGCGCCACAAATCTGAATAAAAGGCAATTGTTTCCAAAGGCAGCTTGATTCCTTGTCTTCCATTCTGCCAAGTTTTTCTGTGAGCACGTTGAGGTGACGCGAAGGTAGGTGAATTTGGTTTCCCCGAAAACGTGTTTGTTTACAGCTACTCAAATTACATGGTTTAATTCAAGTTTATATTTTGTCTGTCTAGAAAGCCCAAATGAGCCAATTCTTTGCATAAAGGATGTAGAGTGATAAAGCTATCTGTTAAATATAAACTTTTCCTGGCCTGTTTAATTCTTTGACCTAAATTCACCCCTCAATATTTCCTTAGTACTTTTGCGTATTTGCCTATTCTGGGCCACCCTGCTCGCCTTCAACACTAAAAGCGCTCATAGTTTTGTGTGGAGTATTCGTGTCAAGTCAGTTGTAAAAGTAAAGCTGTAATGGGGTGGCATGCTGAAAACTATGAGCTCTGACTTAACCCCGTTTTAAATACCCAACTCTTTTTTAGCGTCGCTTGACTGCACTTAAGAGAAAAACTAGGTGTGCAAAAAACTTCCTTTTCTAACATGAAACAAAGCTCTTTAAGGARAATTTGTGATCGAAATATCAAAACACAAGCCTTATAAGTGATTTAACYACAAAAAATGGTAATAAAGCGTTGTTCATTCTGAGGAATCGCGTGCACTCTTTTGTGGCCGAGAGCTGGGCCCGCTGGGAGATAACTGGGCCCACGAACGAAACCTCCATTTTCGTTATTACTCGGGAGAAAACAGCGTTGAGCATTCGATAGCTCTACATGTGTAAACTGAATGCTGAAGCTAGATATGCGTGAAATGTTAAGTCCTTACGGCTATTCCAAGGTAACAAATACAAGTTTACGTTTTTTGTGGCCGAGAACTGGGCCCCATACTGTACATGTATTTTGCAAGAAAATTACACTAATAGCTAACCAGTTGAATAACAAATGAATTTCCTACTATGGCTGATAACGTGCCAAATGATTACATCTAAAGGATAACCAATTGCAGTAACGGCAATATAACATTATTGCTCACCAAATCTCCTAAGTGCCACGCGAAACGCCATCTTGGAAAGAGGCCTTCCCAAAAGTCTTCGCGAGCTGAGGATTGAGTTTGCAAGGAGCCATGGGATGTTACGAGCCCAGGCAAATGAAGCGCGGTTCGGTTTGATTCTACGAAGAAATTGTTTTCATTGTTATTGTTATGTTCGTGAACGTAGAATGGATTTCAGTCCGGAAGAATTTGATGTTAGCCCTCCTTGCTTTTTGGTTGAGAATTCCCAGGCCGATGAATCGCAGCAACTGGGCCGATCTGACAGCGATCAGCATTTATCGATCATAAAGCGGCTGCCGATCTTTCGATTGTCGAACAGAACTGACTCTTCAGCTTGTAATTCGAGGAATGATTCGTCTGTTCCTCGACATCCTGTTGCTCTAAGTTGTCCTACGGCTGGCGGAGAGGGTTATGGAAAGGAAGAAGGGGATCCAAGTCGGGAACAGGGGGATGGGGACCAGCCGGGGGAGGGAGGTCATGGTAGTGGCGGTGATGACGACAGAGGTGGTGGTGGTGGNGGTGGGGGTGGTGGTGGAGGTGATGGGGGTGGTGGTGATGATGAAGATGATAATGAGAACAATGGCCAGGATCCCAGTACAAATGAAGAAGAATCGCCTCATTCAGAGGAACCATCTTCATCATCATCAAGTGATACTATTCCAAGGTTGATTCGCCCCGAAGCTGTTGTCACTAATAATGACCAGTGGAAAGGACAGAAGTTTGTGGTGCAGGTTGTGCAAGATGCACCACTGTCGGGTGCAGACACCAGTCATGGCAGTGGAGGTAGCATGCATGAATCTAGTGATAACTATAGCCAAGCATCAACTGGTATTGTGGGGGAAGGGAGAGATGTTGGTGCTGATGTAAGTGAAGCATCCACAGCCCCGATGGAAGAAGAGAGAAAGTCAACAAGCTCTTCTAGTATAGGTAAGACTTGTGTTAATCACCCAACCTTCATAGGCACTTAGCTACTGGAAATCAAGAATTCAAATTTCTCCTCTCATCGTTTCCTATTTAAAGGTGATCAGGCTGTGAAAGCTAATTCAACTATCACCTCTTAGAAGTAGACAAATTGTTTTTTTTGTTTTGTTTTTTTTGCAGTTAATTTAAAACTTTTGTTGTTCATTCAATGATTTAGCTATGATTGTTGAACTTGCTTTGTTTTTGATGTCATTATGCATTTGATGGCTCAGTTACATCTCAGTGCTACTGAGGGGTACTGAGTGTTAACACAGAGTAGTCTTATATCAGGGATCCATGTTTGCAGTCATCTGGTAGTCTGAGATGACTGAAAAATAATAAGGATGACCAAACAATATGACAACTATAGAGTTTAGTTTGACTCTACCAGAAAAAAAAAAACATTTCTTAAAGTTTCTTATGAGTTCCCTGCATTCTGCTTCCATTTGGACTTTTAGAAAACAGAGAAAGATTTGCAGCTTTCCTTCACGATAAAATCATCGTGATTTTGGTCCCAGTCATATTGGATAATGTGGTATTCTCCAGGGATGAAATCATTGCAGGCTCAATTTTCATTTTGTCAACCACTGATTTTCTGTGTCCACTGACAGCCACAACTACGGACATGATGTTCTGGGAGACTGGTCACATGAAAATGATAAAAAAGTAAACTTTCCATTTGACATGTTGTTCAGTCCCCGTTCTTTCCTATTGAAAGGGCACGTAAAAATTTGCCAGGGCAAGTATGTCATCTGACTTACTTGATGACATACTTGCCTGGCTGGCAACTTGGCGAAAAAAAAGTTTTCAGTCGCAAATATAAGTGATCGACAAAGGCTTCTGAACAAGAATAAGCCCGGGGCCTACCATATCCACATGTCAGTTGAGCTAAACGACATGTAGTTCATTATACATTTAGTATGTTTTGGTACATCATTTACCTCTGAACTCTGATGTCTTTAATGCATAGGACATAAATCTGAACAAGGATCAACTATCAGCAGTAGTAGTTACCATGGAGATCTATCAAGTCTATCAAGTGGAAGCAGCTTCCCTGTATCCCCAGAAGTACGTAAACACCTTCCACTTCATCCAATGCTTCGGACGCAGTCAACAAGCGATAGCAGCAGCACCAGTGCTGGCAGTAAAGATCAGGAGAAAATACACAGCAAAGTCACTGGCTACAAGTTGGTTAGTGTGCAGGAGGAACAAAGTGATAAGGAAGAATCTGAAGTATGTTCTTCACAAGAAGACTTGTTCGCTTCTTCTCAAGGCCACCAGGAAAGAGGCAAGACATCAGATTTATCTCACTTGAACTTTTCTCCACAACTCCGATCGACTCCAGTGGATGGACAAAGCAGATCTCAGGAAAATCCCCATGAGAAATCACTCTACAAGAAAGTCCTTACCACTAAGCAGCGGACGTCAACACCCGTGGAAGGTGGTCACTTTCTTTATACCCCTCCCTCCCAGGGGACACCAATTGACAATATTGCATTTAAGAGCTTGCAGTTCTCTGGAGAGCCAAGTGTCAGAGAGACATCATCCTCATCATCTGATAAGGTGTCACCTTCACCAGAAGTGTACAACTCAATTCCAGCTTTGGATCCATCTTCTCCCACTGCTAGTGAGGAGGAGCAAGCAGAAGAGAAAACCAGCAGGTAATGAAAGAAAGGGCTAATATATAGATTTAGGCCAGCCTAAAAGCGTAGCTCCTGGGCCACGTTGTTCAGAGTCAAATAACCCAGGAGAAAGGTAGAATTTTGATTTCAGTT